AAAAAAAAAGATAAACGACAAACTGATTTTTAAATGGTAAATGTGTGTTTCTCCAATTATGTACTGTTCAATTGTAGTAAGAATTTTTTAAGCATATATTTCAAATAATGGCGGCTCAACCCGAATATCTAGCTTTCAAAAGAAATGTAAAACTCCTCAGATTCGATGTCTTAACACCTCTAATGGCAGTACTTGTATGTGTCATATTTTAATGTTCATTATATCAAGGCTATCTAAAGTTAAAAGATTCAATTTGTTTTCAAAGAAAGTCATTTATGTATAACCAGATATTTATCTCGTTAAAGGGATATAATTATCCAGTTACAACGAGTAGGTAGTTATCTCGTTTTATATATTAATTTCATGTAAATTAATTGAATCTGATTCGTCGAGAAATATTTTTTAATAACACTATATATTACCCACTGAATGATGAAGCCACGCCCTCCAGCGTAGCGACAATTAACACTGCTTGACGACGGGTGATATTCCAAAAGTCGAATGTAGTGTGAAATATAAAAATATATAGTTCTAATCATTGAGTCTCAACCCAAAACTTGAACTCATGGGAAATTGTAAAAATTGTAACTTAAAAAATCGTAAGACTCGATGTCTCAACACCCTCTCTCAGTTCAGCGGGACGTGTTTGCTCACGAATTCTACAGTATATCAGGACACCTTTGTTGATTTGATAATTGTTTGCCCTCTATAGGCCCGGTATTTCATTTATGGATCCATCATTTTTATAAAGAGTGAGTGAGAAAATTCTTAAATTCATGTTATTGATAAGTTCCACATACCATTTTGTGAGTATTTGAATGGAGTAGTTCTTCAAAGAAAATAAAAAGCCAAAACCAAAAACAATACAAGAAATACTGCTTTTGCAAGCCGAAGCGTAAGTGTGTCTCCTCGACCCCAACGATGTAACATTGGATTTGAAAGCAGAGACCATATACTCTTTTAAAAGATTTGCCAAAATCCAAATATTTAGAAATAAATGACCCTTTTTAGTTCCATGGCAACGGCAGCTATTTCGGGTATTTAAACATCAGAATTTTGGAGAGACCCTTAATATTGTGTACATGTTATGTACATGAAGTTTGAGAATATGATTTCTTTCGTTTGAGGAAGGAATTAGACAGAAATCAATTTCTACCTGTTGTTTATAATAAACCACTTGTTCGGAATTACAATGTTTTCATTCGAATACCTGGTTAATATCACGTGGTTCTCTAAAATGGTCTCGTTGGCGATGCTATATAAGAGGTAAATAAGTGTTTATTTACTAGTTTAGGACGACACGTACAGAACAACAAAAGTTTAAAATTTATTTATATTATTTATTTAATCCAACTTTATGATATACATGTCATTGCTATGTTCAAATAGTGCATGTTATTGTTTATTCTGCTTTCATTTGAAAGTAATGAATGGATTTAAAGTAGAATACAATTGGAGGGAAACAATCCATTTGAAATAAAATTCCTTTCTGTTTCTATGGATACAGTAAAAATTGTCTGACCGATTACATTGTTCCAATTTTTCCAGAAACCAGTTTGACTAGATGAAAAGAATAAGATTTTAATGCTTTAAAAAATGGTTGGACGGTTGCTGTGAAAAATGCGATTTAAAATTTTCATTCTTCGTATGTGTCAATACATCTGTTCATCTTTCTAAAGAAAGGAGACTTGTAACAATGTTTTGCCCGCATCCCCCTCATAATATTAGTACAGCCATTATATTTTATTCGGGGGGGGGGGGGGGTGGTGGCTCTAGGGGAAATCGCAATCTATAACTACTACACAGAGTAGGATTTCCCCGGGAAATTCAAAATTGAATCTGGTGTGGAATTTCCGTAGGTGAAATCCCACTCTAGAGCCATTCTTCTGTGGGGAAATCCACCTCTCTAGAACCTATTTTCCGGGGGAGGGGGGGGGGATTTTAATGGGGGAAATCCTACTCTACAAGACCGGTAACAAAAAATATTTTTAAAAGTTTCTTTGCAATAGTCCAATAATATCTTGTATTCTCATCAATGTAGCAGTTTCTTTTCTTTTTGATTTGTTTGAGAGATTATTGGTAGGAGTACAGAGCAGCTTGTTGGTTTTTTGTCAGCTGTTGACAGATCCCCGGGATCTGAAATGATAAGACTTTGTTATGTTTTTGGATGTGTCAGACTCTGTGGTAGCTTTTATTTCGAGTTCAAATGGATTTATCATATCAACGTAGAAATGAAAATAAATATTGTTAATTGATTAAACGTCGTCTGAAATCTGCAATAAGAACTGATTGTAAAGCCAACCCTACTAACGAGAGTACTAGTATTCTCTAAATCAGGTGATACCAGTACTTTATCAAAATCATTATGGATACCTTATTTTTTTTCTTATTGATATATTCTGTTTATCATGTGTGAAATTAAAAGGAACAAAAGTCATATTATATCTGATTTATTGAATTAAATCATCACTTCACAAACTTAATTAAGAAACAACAAACTTAATTAGCAAACAACAAACTTAATTAACAAACAACAAATATAATTAACAAAAACATAAGGATTTCTTTACAGTTATGTACATACTGGGTTGTCATAGGAACCAAAATCTTTTAAAATGATGAACTATGACACATTAAAACACTACACTGAAAATAAAACTTTGAAATGAATTCTGTAAAATGGATAGTATTCCTAAAATAATTCAATTATTTTAATTCAATCACCTAACATTTCAAGGAGGGGGAGAGGGAGGGGACAGTTTCTTTCTTTCTCACTCTAGTCAAAGAAAAGTTTTTATTCCCCCAGAACACTGAAACAAATCATTTTTTTTTTTAAATTACACTATTATTATTATTTCAATAATGGTCCCTGCATATAAGTTCCATGACTTCCTGTATCCTCATGACTGTAGCGGTTTGAATATACAGTGTAATTTTTCTTGTTTGAGAGATTGTTGGTAGGAGTACAGAGCAGCTTGATGGTTCCCTGTCACCTGTTGACAGATCCCCAGAATCTGCCAAGATATGTCTCTTTCGTGTATCTTTACATATATCCCCTGATCGTGGTGGACCAGGTTCTGTAGATTATCTACAGCTGTTTGTGCTCTCAGTGGGTCTACCTGTCTGTAACACAAGATCTCTAACATGTGTAACAGAACATAGAGTGGGATATATTTTGCAGAGGATCCAAACTGTAACCCCAGACTGTTGTTCTGGCACTAATTCATTGATGTAACAGATTTCATTTTCAAGAAAAAATCCCATGCCACAGCACGTCTCATCTTTGTAGACCAGGACTGTCCCCATAAAGACTCATGAAACATGGATTCACTAAAGATGTACCTTTCTGCATTTAAAGTTCCATTTGAGATATACATTACATGTGGCTGTGCTAACTTGACCTTCGTCATTTCTATAACTGATATAGCTTCCTTGTATCTAAGTGTCTTGTAGTAAAACATAGCAATATATAACATATCAGAAATGCACCCAAACTTGGCTGCTAATTTCATCATATAACTGGATGTTTTATTAGCCATATACACCTGTTTGTTTACAACTGAACTGGTATTTATCTTGAATGGTGCAAAAAAGGTTAAATAGTTGTATAATATAAAAGCAGTGTTCCGGGGTACAGTGGCTGTAAGTTTCTGAGAACCTGGTACTTAGTCAGGGGTGAAAAAACTGCGAACGATAGTATTGTTCTCCCGCCTACCTCCAAGTCAATTTTCAAAAGTTAAGATATTCGAATAATTTTTAATATTTATATTGATATTTATATGAATTCTCATAAAACATTACTTCTTTTGGAAAACAACAAGTGATAACTCTAAACTTTTGGTAAAACTCGTGTTTTTCACTATAGAAATCAACGGAAAACGGAAAATATTTTTAAAACATCTCCCCCCCCCCCCCCATGAAACAAAAATTCCTTTTTACGGGTAATATGGACTGTCATTTCACAAATTCATATCAAAGCTTTTTGTGTTTCACGGGGGGGGGGGGAACATATGTTTATACACAAAAAACGACAAAAATGCTTATTTTTTCAGCAATTTCCAAGTGCTTTACAACTGAAACATTATATTTTACTAATATATATGCTTAATTTTATATGCATAAAACATAAGAAAAAGATTTAAACATTTATTCATACCCAAGACTATTTCAGAATATGATGATGCCTTATAGCCCGATTTCAATGGAAAATATCGTCTACCCCCCCTTATTTCAAGAGCTGGAATTAGGGATATTTTACTATTTAGCACTGGAACTAAAATAATCAATCAATTACAATTGAACTGTTCTTTGTATTAAACAAAGATTTTATGGCCAAATTGTCATCAATATTGAATTAAATGGTTGTAAAATGTAGGCGGGAATCGGGAGTTACCGTGCGTAGTTCTTATCAACTTTTCTACAGCACTAAAGAACCTAACACATTGATGTAGGTATGTTGCTGGTACCATATCCCTATACAACTCCAGAAATAGATTTAGTTCAAAGAAAGCCAGGTTGGAGATATCATAATTAGCTCATGTAAACCAAAAAACTGTCTGGAAATTTGAAGGACACTTATAACAATAGACCTGATAGATAGACAATAAAACAGCAATGCTATTCCCATCTCATACAATTCATGAAGCCTTATGAATAAATTATATTGTGCTTCACCATGGATGTTACTCAGAAACATGTTGTTTTCAGGAATAAAGAAGTTTGGACATACCCCCTCATACACCCATTTAAGGATAAGTTTAAAACAGACCCAGAAACACTCCAGGATATTTTGTGGAAACCAATGAGATATTGTGTTTTGTTGAATCATCCAGAAAACTGCTGTCTTCATGTGATAGGAACACAGTAATTTATCCACATCACTTAATCCATGATTAATAGACTCCCTTAGGAACAATTTAAGCAAACCATAGGTTAAGAATTGGCAAATGGTTCATTGAGTAGACAAGTTTTTGTTCTGCTAAAGAGAAGGAAATTCTCCATTATTTGTCTGCGTGTTTTCCTAGTTTGTGTCCTATTGCTACAAAGTGGCATCCATTTCTGACTATATCATCAATAATATACGACGGGGGCCATGAGTGACATCTGTCTATCCATTTGGAGGCAGGAGGTGGCCAAAAATCACAGACAAAACACTGGGCTGTGTCATATTCTTCTCCCCCTAAAACACCACTACCACACGGACCATGTTCTTTAGAATCAGGCAAAGGTGCTGAACATGTGACCTGTCTGTATTTGGAACTGGATATATAGAGTCTGTCATTTATTCTCATACATGCATACTTTAAACATTCCCTGTCTGTTGGTGTCAGTAATTCAAGTAAAGCAAATCCTGGTGGGCTCTCTGTACAATAACAGAGAAACAGTATTTTTCTACTTAAGTCATAATTCTGAGCCTGGTCTAAATCCCAGATCACGGTGTGGTCATTTGGCCAGTACATTAAGTCCACATCTGATCCCTTCAGCCTGAATCCTTCTCTGCGACTCCCACTGGTCATTACCATGTCTTTTTGTCTTGTATTTATCACTTGATTTATCATCATTTCCTCGAAGTCCTTCACCTCTCTCCTCATGATCACATCCTGTGAGGACCCCACTGTGAAATACAGTCCCACAAACACAGTCTCTGACAGATACTGCATACGGAAGTCCCTGTACAAAACATGATAAATACCCTGTATATGTAAAAATATATGTAAAAAATGTAATATTTCATTATCAATGAGTCCGAGTTATATGAAGTTGTGTAATTTTCTAGGCCAAAATCATACATCATTTTTATGTTCCAACGCCTCACTAATTACACGTCCATGACTGCCATTTGATCATAGAATGCATTGTAATATTAACATATTTTGGACAAACATGAAAATAGAATTGTCATGATCACTTAATAACATTTTGCAATTTTAATCCTGTATAATTCAACCATTTACAGTGCGTAGGTAATATGGAAACTTCCTATTTAAAATAATCCGATTTCAAACAGTTAATACTTTGTTTTAGGTTTTCCCAATAACACAAAAACATAATTCCCGTAAACAATTTCTTATTTCATTGTTGAATAAGTAAAATGCAATTTGCTAAGAACACTTTTTTCGCATTTGACGTAAAACAAAATCATGATCAAGTTTTATGACCATCTTTTCCCCATTTCAACAATACTGCAGTATACATATCTATGTAATACATGCTGTTCGGATTTGATATAATTATATATATATATATATATATATATATATATATATATATATATATATATATATATATATATATATATATATATATATATATATATATATATATATATAGCCCCCTTTCCTGGATAAAATAGCACAAAAAAGTACAGTCTGTAACTGAGTGAATTGTCATTTATTGAAAATGACAATGAATATCAACAATACAATAAACTGCAGCTTGAGACAATGATATGTAGGCTACAGCCTTTTTTGCCTATATATGGAATATACGCCAATGGCTTTTAAAAAGACTATTGCACTAAATTTGAAGTTAATACATTCTTAAAACCCGTGCCCATGTTGTTCAAATGGCCCCTAAGATTTCATTAGCAAAGAACAGGCCCGTAGGAAGCAATTTCAGTTTTGGGGGGCACAGCCATACATTTTCAGCTGAGAGGGCACTATCGACTACCAAAAATTCTTTGACAAGCAAAAAAAAAAAAAAAAAAAAAAAAATCTCAGACGTTTTTATTGAGTTGAGGAGGGCACATGCGTATAGTAGGTATGTTTTCTATATAGTAATCTAGTAATCTATATATCGGCAAAATTATTGGGGGGGCACGGCCCCGTGCCCCCCCCCCCCGGTTCCTACGGCCATGAAGAATCTTTACAAGCATACTTTCCTCATGCGACAAACCTCCGCTTCGGAGTTGAAACTCCCTATGTGTGTCCCTTTTAGTTTAGACGGTGTTTTTTGGCTTGTCAATCTGATTAAAATCAGATCCTTATCCGCTCACATAGATCGCTACACACTTGTGTGTGATCTGATGTCAATATTATTCCCCTCCCCCTTCTCGAAAAACGCGCGCTAAAAAAGTATCCAAAAATAACGTGTCACGTTACCTGGTCACGTGACCTATATCACATGAATCTGTGCATATCGAGATGGCGGTCGGTAGGAACGTATTTGCAGTTCTTTTGGTGAAAACAGGTTTGCCAATATTTATTTTGTTGAGAGACTTACAGATAGCAATTGCTCATATATTAATTGAACTTTTCAAGCCATATTTTACTCTTTTTATATCTATCTGACAAGATGCTCACATGAAATAATCTAGCCTTTGACAACACCTGTTAGTCAGATTCAGAGATGGGGACCTCTCGCTAAGATCAGGATGTAATATCCCCTTTTGGATATATTGTATCCCAAATGGGGGAGGTGTGGTCCCAACCTGTTTGTCAGTCATGCTTACACAACTGTAAAAGGTTCAAGATAATGAAATGCAGATTTTTTTTAACTATAGGAGATGTGTGTATGCCTAGCAGTTAATTGAGTTTTGTACAAGATGCCATCTATTTACTCCATGTACTATAGAAGTCTTTTAACTTACAGTATTATAAGACAGTAATGTGAATGCATACATGTAATTGTGAAGTCCAAATTGTCAATTTTATTTGTTAAACTTGGAAGTGTGAAAATTCATATTTAAAACATTTTCCAATGACTGACATTGGCTAGTTAGAATTTAAAGCATTATTAGACACAGACTTCATGAAGTTGAATTGATAAAAACTTGGTTCTAAATCAGATTTTCATTGGGATGATAGTGTAATTCCGTAAAACAGATTAGAAGTGAAGTATACTTAGTATACGATGTTGAAATGGGTTGACTAGGCCGTGTAATTCATCATGTGACTATGAGCAGAACTCTATGGCAACATCTTACAAGTCTTAGTCATTTCACTAAGGGGAGAAAATATGCTGACATTAAATTTATTGTTATCTTTTTATCTGGAAAATCTGAGTAATGCATCAAGTCTTTTCACAACATTATTTTTCTAAGATGGTGCAGGTCTCATGAAATCACAGTTGCTTGAATATAATTTTAAAAATATTATCAGAGCCAAAACTTATTTAAGCAAGAAGCCTATGAGCCATCACACTCACCCGTTTCCTTTGTTTCCTACATATTTCTATGTTGAACTTTGATTGCACTTTGTGGCTCACCCTACTCCAGGGGTCATGATATGAAGGAAAAAATGAATCTACACTATATACTGAAGCTTTTTATATATATATATATATATTATAAGTTTATCTTTTGGCTCAATGGTTCTTGAGCATAAGATTTTCAATGATTTTCCTATATATTCATCTATAAGACTTTTGGCCCCATCCTATCCCCTGGATCTGGATTTGAACAGTTTTGAATTCACACCATGCAATGAAGCTTTCACATAAGTTTCAAATCTTCTGGTTGAGTTGTTCTTCAGAAGAAGATTCTTAAAGATTTTTTTTCTATATTTTCCCTTGTAAAAACTTTTTTGGGTCACCTATAGTGGCCCCACCCTTATCTTGGGGGTCATGATTTGAATTTACACTATGCAAGGAACTTTTTTTTAGTTTAGTGGTTCTTGTGAAGAAGATTTTTGAAGGATGTCACTTGTCTAAATTTTCACTAATTCCTAATAATCTTCTTTTGAAAGAGAGCATGGCCTTTCATTTCTACTCTACCCAAAGATGCTTTGTGGCAAGTTATTTGAAATTGGCCTGGTGATTCTCTTTAAGAATTGAAAATGTGAAAAGTTTATGGGCATACAGGTAGACGCTAGACAAAATGTGATCAGAAAATTTCACTTGAATTTTTCAACCCAGGTGAGCTAAAATGCTTTATTTCCCACCTTTGTGTGTTATTTTAAATCTTTTTTTTTTAAAAATAGGTTATTAGAAACTTCATTTTTAGGTCATTTATTCCTTTTTGGTCAGAACAAGTCCTGGAATTTCCTGATTCTATACATTTTACCTTCCATGTTTTTAATCGTATAATTGTTCATGTTGATTTCCAGTGTTAGCAGCCTCCCTGACTAAGGATGCCCCAACCTGGGGGGATTCCTACTCAGTGGATGGGGTTCTACAACTGCCCTATGCTGAGCTGAAGGAGCCATTCAGAGCTTACTATGACGCAAAGAACAACCAAAGCCGCATTGACTACTACAATGGTAAGGCACCGATTTATCCTCTAAATACAAACAAGACAGACACCAGTACCAAAGAGACTAAACTCCTTTATTAGTAAATGGTTGAGTATTTATTGTTTAATAAATTTTTTTTCCACTTTTAAACAGTTGACTTTGGTGAAATGTTATTATAATGTGTTGTTACACTACCCATTATATTATAAGTAGGGATGTCAACGAATAGTCGATTATTCGACCATCAGTTGAATGGACCGACGATCGCATAATGAAACGACATTCGAATATTATTAATAAATAGATACAATAAAAGAGTGATAACGAGAGGGAATTCTGATCTCAAAATAGAGAAACTGTCTTTCCTCAGAGGCAGTCGATGATTTTTCACAACAAAAACGGTTGACTTTCTATGTACATATAGAAAGTACTGTCAGTAATTAAATAATTATACGTACTTCACTAACGTGAGAATTGTTTGTCAATGACTGTCTGTGTTGTTTTCTGTAATAAATTATCCATCAATATACTGGGCTTTATTTGTAAAATTTTTAATTGGTCTTGATCTTATACCATGTACCAGTTATATTTTGTTATTTTAAGATTGTTCAAATGCAAGGAACACACAAACTCGTGACATGTTTTAACATTTCAACAATTATTAAAACAATTCGCTTACATTTTAATGACATCTTGATAGTCGGAACAGCCAAAAACTCATTAATCAGTATCTAACTGTTTAAAAGTATCACAGGCACCTGATGTTTGGATAGTGTGAGATTACACCCCACCCCACCCCGATTATTTTCAAAATAAGCTTTAAAAAATTTGCTATAATTTTGATGTTACTTTTTAAATAGGTTTAAGTAAAAGGGTTTTTGAGTTATAAATACGTCATGTACCAAAGAAGTTTGAAATAAAATTTTATTTTCAGAAAACGTTCCGAATATTCGACTATCGTTCGAATAATGCAATCGAATAATCGACTAAGGAAAATAAATATTTTGACATCCTTAATTATAAGTGTTTATATTTGATGGAGACAAGAACTAAAGTGTCAAAAATGTTGTAAAATTCCTGTTTATTTAGTTAAAAGGTTATTTGAATTTGATCTACTTGTGACCATACAGACCTGGTCAGGTAATTGGTTAACCTCAGCCTTTGACCTCGGTCAACCAATACCTGACCAAGTCCAAATTCAAGTAATTGTATAGTACCATATATGTGGAAAATACACATTATCAACAGATTAAGTGATATAGATCAGTGGGTTATTTTTGACAGATTTATTGATTTAGTATCAGTGAGTTATTTTTTTGGACTGATATAGTATCAGTGGGTTATTTTTGACAGATTTAGTATCAATGGGTTATTTTTGACAGATTTAGTATCAATGGGTTATTTTTGACAGATTTAGTATCAGTAGGTTATTTTTGACAGATTTAGTATCAATGGGTTATTTTTGACAGATTTAGTATCAGTAGGTTATTTTTGACAGATTTAGTGATCACTATGCAGCTACAGACTCAGAATATCAGCATCAAAATAGCATACATGACAACAGAAACAGTGACCAACCAAAAAACATGTTTCCTTGTCAACGGGAGCTCTCCCATTCAAGCTGTCCTCCCAGATTTGTCAGACTTTAAGGTCAGTATAAAACAGGCCTAGCTTAAGTTAAAAACAAGGTGAAATTCATTAATTAAAAAATATTTTAAGGATGGAAATCTCAAATTGTAGAAAATTTGTTAGAATAAATTACTATGATGATAATATTTTCAAAAAACAAAATTAATATAAACAACTTCAAAAATTTACATATAAAGCTATTAATTCTTGTACAGAATGTAGGACAAGATACAATTGGTGCAACCACTACAGATAAATGGGTCAAGGTCACAAACCACGGAAAGAAGAAGAGCACGTATACTATGTGGGTGGACTCTGCTACTAACGCCCCGGTACGGTACGAAATGATGGGGTACGACTCACTTCTAGGATCTCATTATGACAAATATTATCTGGACTACTCCAACTTTAAAAACGAGACGTCTTTCAATGCCACAGTGTTTAACTACACTTCATTTGGTAAGGATTAAGGGACTCGGTTTGTCATGATTTCTTTGATCTGAGGTGGTTTATATCTGACTTACTGTGTACACGGATATTTTCGCCCAGTGATATTTTTACCATTTCACATGGTAAACAATTTTACCCCATTTTAAATTCGCCCAGTCATAGTTCTGTTTAAGAAATTATATTGTGTTCTTTGAATTCACCCCATTTTAAATTCACCCAACTTTGAGTTGGGCAAAAGGTTCAAAAATAAAAGTGGGGCAAAAATTTCCCTGTATACAGTAATTCTACCTGTATTGATTTTTAAAAATTGGAATTTGATCATTCGTGATATTTCATTTTGCAATTTTTTTCTTGTAGTATTTGTAATTTTTTCAAAGTGATACAACATTTGAATCAGTATTTTAATATCTATTATCACTTAAAATTATGTATTTAACCTAGGTAAAATAATACAGTTGCATGTGCATTAAATTTAAAAGGTGCTGAAAAAGATTGGTTAGAGACATTCTTTTTTTTTTTTTGACTGTCCCTACAATGTGATCTTAAGAAATTTTTATAAATTGGTCAATGTGTCCCCCTCTGTCCCTCAGGTCTCTCCTGCTCTGGATTCCCCGGTCCAGGTTTCTCTGAGAGGAAGGTCCTGATGAACCCAATGGTAGAGTATATACATAACTACGACAACCATGTGGAGGAAATGTTCATCAAACACAAACAGAAGCATGCCCCAAAGTATAGCAGCATCAAGGAACATGCTCAGAGACAGCATATCTTCAGACAAAATGTCAGGTATGTGGAGTTGTAGTATGATAGATGACAGGTTTACTGGTTTGTTGTTTACAGGTTTACTGAGTTTTTGTATACAGTTTTACTGGGATGTTTATAGTTTTACTGGGTAATTGTTAATAGGTTTACTTGGTTGTTGTTTACAGGTTTACTGGCTTGTAGTTTACTGGTTTTCTGTGTTATTATTTACAGGTTTACTTGGTGTTATTTACAGGTTTACTTGGATTTTGTTTTCAGGTTTACTGGGTTGTTGTTTACAGGTTTACTGGGTCATTATTTACAGGTTTACTGGGTTGTTGTAAAAGGTTTACTGGGTTGTTGTTTACTAGGTTTACTGGGTAATTGTTTACAGGTTAACTGTGTTGTGATTTAGTTTACTAGGTTGTTGTTTTAAGGTGTACTGGATTATTGTTTACAGGTTTACTGGGTCATTGTTTACAGGTTTACTGGGTCATTGTTTACAGGTTTACTGGGTAATTGTTTACTTGGATGTTGTTTACAGGTTTACTGGATTATTGTTTACAGGTTTACTGGATCATTGTTTACAGGTTTACTGGGTTGTTGTTTACAGGTTTACTGGGTTGTTGTTTACAGGTTTACTGGGTTGTTGTTAACAGGTTTACTGGGTTGTTGTTAACAGGTTTACTGGGTTGTTGTTTACAGGTTTATTCATTCTAAGAATCGAGCAGCCCTGGGCTTTAGCTTGGCAGTGAACCACCTGGCCGATAAATCAAAGGAGGAAATCCAGTTAATGAACGGATATCGCTACACTCCCGGGCACCACGGGGGACTGGCCTTTGATACATCTAAATATAGCGTGAAGGACATACCAGATACAATGGATTGGAGGTTACATGGTAAGATGTGCTGTGATGAAAAATACAGGTACTGTCCTTATTGCAGGGTATTAAGAACCCTCTCTACACTGCACACTAAAGAGTTCTGATTCTGTGGTATTTTTCTGCAGTTAGAGTAATCTGCCCTTAGATCTGAATACAAATAAATTGAAATCTTCAGTGTATTACTCAATCTGTAATCAAGAATTCTTAACATTTTAAAAGGCTAAGATAAATTAACTGGACACTTCATTTGCATATATTTTATCCACTGATGTAAACAACAGTGATTTCTGTTCATTGAAACTTTGCTGTCTTTGAACATTTTTCCTGGGGGTAAATGTGATGTACCATATATTGAAAATTCAATAGATAAGCTTAATATTTACACATGTATACAGTATAATTTTCTCAGTGTCCAAAAAACATTTTGCACTGGTGTAGAGAGGGTCATTAAAGCAAAAAGACTGGGGGTAGTACTGTTTTGCACAATTATTTACTGTTAATGTATATACATGTATCATATCAATTAAAAGCTTGTGTTTAAAAATTAAATGAAGCCAATCAGCTTAAATAAGCACATGCATAGAAAAAAAATGTTTCTTATTCATATTTGGAAGAATACTTTGATTCTATTTTTAGTTTCATTTTCCTCAACAGCAGATTATAAAAGGATAATTATTTATATCAAATAATGTGTAAGGTATGATAGATAAAGCTGCCAGAATTTGTCAGATTCTCTTAAATGTAAATCCAGTTAAATGTGTGAATACATTTTCTAACTGAAATTATATCTTATCTAAAATTATAAAAACAGACAAATTAAAGGACTTTGTATTGCTGACTTTTCATTGCATTTATTATACAATGTATATACATATCTGGAGTTTAACAAATTTAGGGAGATACATGTACTAGGTATTTTATGTTTTTGCACTCAGATGGTCTTGTACAATTATGTGAAAATAAAGTTTTCACACCAAAAAAAAAATGATTTGCAGCATATTTATCCACAGAACTTTAACTGCATCTCTTCTCTGTACTGAATCAGGGGCTGTAACTCCAGTAAAAGATCAGGCAGTCTGTGGATCATGTTGGAGTTTTGGGACAACAGGAACAATAGAAGGGGCATACTTCCTTAAGGTAAGAGTGTGACCTGGCTGGGGGTTGGGGTTGGGTAGGTTAACTATCTGAAGAACACACATACTCTTGGGTGTGTGTGTTCATAATGTATACTGGCTATTGCATGTCGTGGGTACCAATTTTGTATTAGAAAACAAGTTTTAACCTTTTCTGTACGATAGGTATAGCCCTTCTGCATTTTAATTAGTTCATTTGCATAGAAACGTCTATACTGGTACTTAGCCTTAACTCACTTGTGTTACAATTTTTAGCTCACCTCAACGAAATTGGGGGAGCTTATGTAATACCCTCGGCATTGGCGTCCCAGGCTAAAGTTTTTGGAGCAGTTTTCTTTTCAAGTACTTCTATGCCCTATATCAATCAGAGATGCATGGAGGATGCTTCTAGTGTGTTTCAGTGTACCAGTCAAGGTTTCAGATGCTGCAGTTTCAGCTAAAGAACATGAAGAATGACCAGGTTAAAGTTTTTGGAGCAGGTCTCATTTCCAAATAAGTATAGACCCTATATTGACCAAACTTGCATGGATGATACATCTAAGAATGCACACTACTAGACTTGCTTCAGATGCTGGATCTGACCTATATTTTCCGGATGAGTGACCAGGTTAAAGTTTTTGGAGCAGGTCTCATTTCCAAATAAGTATAGACCCTATATTGACCAAACTTGCATGGATGATACATCTAAGAATGCACACTACTAGACTTGCTTCAGATGCTGGATCTGACCTATATTTTCCGGATGAGTGACCAGGTTAAAGTTTTTGGAGCAGGTCTCATTTCCAAGTAAATATAAGCCCTATAGTGACCAAACTTGCATGGATGATACGTCTAAGGATGCACACTACTGAACTTGCTTCGGATGCTGGATCTGACCTACATTTTCCGGATGAGTGACCAGGTTAAAGTTTTTGGAGCAGATCTCATTTCGAAGTAACTATAAGCTCTATATTGACCAAACTTGCATGGATGATACATCTAAGGATGCACACCACTGGACTTGCTTCAGATGCTGGATCTGACCTATATTTTCTGGATGAGTGACCAGGTTAAGTTTTTGGAGCAGATCTTATTTCCAAGTAATTATAAGCCCTATATTGACCAAACTTGTATGGATGATACATCTAAGGATGCACACCACTGGACTTGCTTCAGATGCTGGATCTGACCTATATTTTCCGGATGAGTGACCAGGTTAAAGTTTTTGGAGCAGATCTCATTTTGAAGTAACTATAAGCTCTATATTGACCAAACTTGCATGGATGATACATCTAAGGATGCACACCACTGGACTTGCTTCAGATGCTGGATCTGACCTACATTTTCTGGATGAGTGACCAGGTTGAAGTTTTTGGAGCAGATCTCATTTCGAAGTAACTGTAAGCCCTATATTGACCAAACTTGCATGGATGATACATCTAAGGATGCATACCACTGGACTTGCTTCAGATGCTGGATCTGACCTACATTTTCCGGATGAGTGACCAGGTTAAAGTTTTTGGAGCAGATCTCATTTCCAAGTAACTATAAGGCCTATCTGAACCAAACTTGCATGGATGATGCATCAAGGGATGAACACTCTCAAACTTGCTTCAGATGTTGGATTTGACTTGCATTTTCTGGATGATTGACTAGTTTTAAATTTTTAGATAAGTCCTTTCCCAAGCAGCAAGCCATATCAGACCAAAATTGCATAAATGTTGCATCTAGGGATGCACACTAATAGATTATTAGTTGTTTAGTGTGGGACTTTGCCTTACTTAAAGACAACATTCGTTGAGGTGAGCTCTGTAATCTCTGATTACCTATGTTTTACAGACTGGTAACCTGGTGAGGTTGTCACAGCAACAGCTGATGGACTGTTCCTGGGGGGAGGGGAATAATGCATGTGACGGCGGGGAGGATTTCCGAGCTTACGACTGGATCATGAAGAACGGAGGTCTGACTTCAGAGGAACTGTATGGACCTTACCTGGCACAGGTAAAACACTCAGGTGTCAAATCTGCCTCAAATATTAATTGACATGGAGTGATTGCTGTGAATGTTATTTGATTGATTGTATATTGTTTAACACCGAGTCGGCAATATTTCAGCCATGTTTTGGCAGATAATTTTGTTTAAATGACTGGCTTTTGATGATGAGTTAACTTTGTTTTCTATAGCATAAAGCTTATTTTCATCACAGACCTCCCATTAAATTTGCCAAAGAGAATGAACATTCTCATGAGATATTTCAGATCGGTGTAAGGAATTTTGAATAAAGTAATTTCATGTTGAAGTGCCATTTTTGCAGCACTTTACAAATTCTGTACTTCAGGACTGAGTGAATGATTTAAGAATTTGTTTAGGCCAGATCCATTAAGATGACAATTAATTCAAAGGAATTTATTTCTCATATTTGAGAAACCTGTAGGTTCCTTTCATTAACTAAATCTTGTTCTTAACCTTGTCAAATGTTTTGTATGTTGTGCTAAACACATTAACAAATAGATACTCAGTAAATTAATATATTTTTTTAATCAGAAGTTGATCCATGTAGCAAAGTTCAGCAATCCAAAAATACTCATGTGGTCCTGTCAGATTCCATTCTTGGGATTAAATTCACGTTTTAAAACTTTAAATTCTGCCTGCATTTTTCTAACTGTAGGACGGCATGTGTAACAAAACAATCACCCCTGTTGCCAAGTTAAAGAATTATGTGAATGTGACAAGCGGAGATCTTCAGGCCCTGAAGTTTGCTATCGCTCACCAAGGCCCAATCTCTGTCGCTATTGATGCCTCCCATCTCTCTCTATCCTTCTACGCTAACGGGGTCTACTACGAGCCACAGTGTGGTATGTATTCCATTTATGTTATCTTACTATGTTTGTTTTCTTCCTTTTTTGCAAAAAGCTATAGTGTTTTGTTTATAATTACTGTCTTTCTTTTCTGTAAATGGGTAGTTAAATATTTATGGTCTGACCATCAGTTATAAAAGTAAATCAAACAAATAAAAAGAAACTGTCTGGAAACCAGCAGTTGAATAGCCTTTGTTCCTTGAAGCTTAATGTACCCTGGTTTTCCTGTTATAATGAAAAGGATTTAGATGCTATATGCAAACTTGCTATCCAAGTACTCTAGTATTGTTTCGTTTATTTTAGGTAACAAACCTGATGACCTTGACCATTCCGTTTTGGCTGTGGGATACGGAGTGATGAACGGACAAGCTTATTGGCTGATCAAGAATTCCTGGTCCACGTACTGGGGTAATGATGGCTATGTACTGATGTCGCAAAAAGATAACAATTGTGGTGTGGCCACGGATCCAACATTTGTCCTCATGTAAAACATCTACAAGTCAGAATTCTCTTACTGACAATACGTGCCAAAGTATGCCAGGCAGATTAATTTTGTTACATGTATTGCACTCTAATTTATAATGGGAACTTACAAGTTCAAGGTTATTTAATAAATCTAAATCTACATGTACATCATTTACAATAGGGTGACACTTTAAAGTTAGATTCAGGAATGTTATTGTTTTCTATAAATTTTTATATTATGTACAAGCCCCTTAACTTTAAATATTGTTGATATATTACTGTAAATGTATTATATTAAGCATGTACAATATTTGGCGGAAATTGATTTTTGGACAAATTTGCATAGATTTGATTTAGCGCATTTCTTGAAGTTCTTATTTATGAATATAAGTGCAAGACATTTAGCGTTGTACTTGAATTAGCGGAAGTTGCTTTCCGCCAAAGGCGTTAAAAAGAATACACAGCCAAATATAATACGTTTACAGTATATTTACCGTGTACAATGGTTTTTCAACAAGTACGCATGAATTGCTGAATGTGTGTAACATACTAGTAGACATTTATATACAAAATATTTAGCTGTAGTATATACTTTATTTGGTGGATAGTGCTTTTCTTGAAAGGGGCTAAATAGAATACACCCCCAAATGTTATATGTTTACAGTAACCTATTGTTTCATCATTCCAGGCTGTAGGCTTATATATTACATGTATACAAAATACTACATATAGTTTGTGTGAATGTTTAACTGTAAGGATCTTTATGCAGTTAATATATTTTGTATAAGTGCCATGATTTCTATATTTTTATCAGATTGTGCTTTACCTACTGGACCTGATCTACTTACTGTCCTCTCATTGTATTACACATTCTCTTCATAAACTTAATTCTGCTAATCTTGTATGTGTTCTTTGATGATTGCTCAATTAAACAATCATTTATATCGATGTAGATTTATATTACAAGTCAACACATTCAATGTTGATTGGTGTCTGTATTCGATCCCACCTTCTCAGGCCTTTCTGACTTGCAGAAATGTAGGCATCCATGACAATGCTCCTTTTATTAAACATTGAAATAGATGTAGGGAGACTTCTTATCTTTGGAGTCTGGAGTTTATAATGCTACAGAAGGGACAATGAAGTCTATCTATCAAATTCTTAATAATAAGGAAGTGACTTCAGTTTTTATGACATTTTAACACACAACGATATAAATACATTGGTGTTTTTTTTCCCCGAGCTTGGCGGAAAGGTCTGAGAAGATGCAATTGGTCTGAGTTATTTGTACAGTTTACGATTGTGATAAAATTATTTTAAGGACATACGCAACGTAGTTTGAACTTTATTGTCTTTTTCCCTGGAGTTGAAGAGTTCCAATACTTAAAGGAACTGTGTGCTACATTTTTATGTCTATATATGCTGCTGTACACTTCTTTCAAAACAAGTTTGGAGAAACAGAACATTTAGAATATATGTTTAGTATTTTTTGTATATTTTTCTTTGAATTATAAAAGAATTTTCATCAATTGATATCTTTTCAAAACCCCTGGTAATGCATGCTGAATTTTTGTCTACAAACATCTAATGGCATTATAATCTTAAATTAAGAATATCTTGAAAAATTATGTGTAGGCAAGGTATGTTGCGTATGTCCTTAAGGATTTTCTGTAAAATAAATATTGACAATAAACAGTAATCAATCAGTGAAGCTGTTAAATTCTCTGGAAATTGTGTAATCACTGGTATTTTGATCACTTTACACCGTGGCAGAGTGACAACATAATAATCAGCATTTGACTTATCATGCAGTGTAACAAATATTGACTTACGTGGCTTGTTCAACATTTTCGCTTCATGCCATTGTTGTCTTATGCAGTTGTCATTTCATGCATTTGTTGTAATTTCATGCAGTTGTTCAGACTGCAAGACAACAAGTGTTGACTGTAAAATGTTGATATGTTCTCTAGCTGTTCAGAGAACCAACATTGACATATCATGTAATCAGGGATGGGGTAATCGTAATCGATTGTAATGATTACTGTTTTTCAAGTAATCGACAGTAATCTGTAATCGAAGAGATTTTCGATTACTTGTAATCGTAATTTAATCGATTACAGCTAAAATTTTCAATGTAATTATAATTACTTTTTCGATTACTTTCGATTATTTTATACATAAATGGATGTTATTTTGAAGAATTATTTCCAGTCAGTCACACATAAATATCAAATATAAACCACCTTGTGTAATGTTTGGATTTCCTAACTTTTTTTATCATAAGTTTAATAATGTTCTCAATAAAATTTGCATTATAGACCTACTGGTCTAGTATTAAATAATTCAGAAGTGTATTTCAACCATTTATTAATAAAATATACAGATTTTTCATGTGCATTTTACATTTGACCCACTGTCCTCTTGCTGCATGTCCTTTTTCATATTTCAGATGTTGAAAAACTTTGTCTTGTAATAGAAAATTATAAATAACAAAAACAGATTTAAGTGCTGTATAAAATATAAATAATTTGGTAAATAAACTACATTGTACTCGAAAAAAAAGAAGATGGAATACTTATTCATATCTGAAAATGTTTAAACAACTTCAAGCTTGTGTTTCAGTAACTTTAAAATTTATTGCAAAATCACTCTCATGTTTTCATTCAAAATTGTAAGGTTGCTTTTATATCAGCGAGAGCTAGGTTATAAGTGTCTGTAAGAGAGGGAGTAAGTGTCACTGTGTTGGCTTATCTTAATTGGCTAATTAATTGACTAAGACATATCCCTGATTGCAGATAATGAGGTGTAAACTGTGAACTACCTAGTGTTTAACTTTCATTCTGTTGAAGACAAACAGTATTATTAAAACAATTAATAGCTCTCAAAACACTTATTTCAATACAGAATGAAATTGTGCTACATGTATTAGTTAAATTACTTAAGGACACATTTAATTTACATGTTTATTACTAAGAGCTCATTCTAATTTACTTATTTTTTGAAAAAAGACACGTACAGGAATGTTTAATGTGTACTGTCAACATACGGGCAGCCCAAATACTTCTAATGTAGTAATTCACAATAAAATATTAAATAATTTTTTCAACAAGTCAATAAATATGGAGGTTCAGATCTAAAGTTGAAAGGAATAATTAATTCCTTGGCATATTTTATTGTAGGAATCATGTCTCCACTATAAGTAGAGAATCCCTCATTTGGGCATTTAGTGAGAATGTTGGCCAGAATAAAACCTTAAAAGAATCTGCACTGAAACTGCAGGAACACATTCAAACTTCAGTGGATAACATCAACATTTACCATTTAAATATTGCTTTGATATTTGAAGAGATAAAAACTTGGAAGTAATCGATTATTAATCGATTACATCTTCCAAAGTGATCGATTACAATCGATTACAGGACAAAAATGAGTGTAATCGATTAATAATCGATTACACAAAATTCCTCTAAGTAATCGATTATTAATCGATTACATTTTTCAGTAATCGTGCCCATCCCTGCATGTAATTCTTCAGACAGCCTGATTATCAGTGTTGACTTAAAGGCAGGTGCTTGCTTAAGGAAGCTCTAAACACTGCTCACTAAAGAGTTCAAATTCTATGGTAGTTTTATGTGGTTAGAGTGATCTGCTCTTTGATGTAAAATGGAATACATGGAACTCTACATTAAATGACACAATTCAAAATAGATTAAAGCATTCTTCATATTATAACAGACCAAGATAAAGTAATTGAAAACATTATTTTCAAGTACCGGTACTTTCCCAATTGAAGTAAACAGAGGTGATTTCAGTACAATAATACTTCACTGTCTTTGAACATTTTTTCTGGAGAAATATGACAGGTACCCTATGTTGGAAATGAAGTAGAAAAATTCAATATGTACATCTTTATATGATACATTTTTCTCAAAGTCCAAAAAACATTTTATGTTAGTGTTTAGAGCTTACTTAAGAAACTTAATTCACACTTCCGCCCAATTTTGTTGTGCATGGATAAGATTGATATGACACGTGAAAGAAAACTAAGAAGACAAGGTTAAACTGCAGCAATTTTTTATCACAGAAAATTGGGATAATAAAACAAAGTGCTGCGAAACACTCCTAGCGCAGCCGATGGTACATCAACACTAACCATTAAACAACAGAGTTCAAAAGTCAAAATAATGTCACGTGTACAGCTAAATACTGTAATGATATAGAAGTTCTGAACACTGTCTGTACACAATCAGTAAGGAATTACAAAGTTAATATTCATGTTCTATAAAATAAATACTGGTAGAAGGACATTCCTTAAATCCCAGCTTACTTTCGTTCAAAAGGTATTAACACAAATTAATACATAAATATGTAATAGGAACTGCTGAATTTTACACTCGTATGAAAGACATAACCGTATTGTTAAATCACTTCTCAGTCTTAAGTGTTAGTTTTATGATTAATGAAATTTTTATTTCTGGAAAATGTTATCTCTGTACAAATAAAAAAGCAATGTTTTGAAAAATGTAACTATGGAAACCCCAAGGCTCCATTTATGAACATGGCTGACTAGAATGACTATATATGAGAGGTAACCTATAAATAAATAAATTGATTGTGTCGACTATCAGCAAAAAAATAAATATCAAAAAAGGGAGACCACTCAGTGTTTGTCTCACGATGCCACCGTGTGAAGACATTCTCTTGCTTGGGAGAGTGTTTCTTACAGACATACTGACATGTTACACACATCATCCTGAGAAACTCCAGGGCACAAAGTCTCACAAATGTTTTATTCTATGTCCAGTCTTCGCTAACAAGCATCTCAATGTTGAGTCATGTCTTCACGTGTGTTTTTTTTATGGCACAGTTCTTGGGAGAGCAGTTTGTAGCAAGGCTACAGATTGAGGTATGTCTGGAATGAATATCTAAATGTCTGAGCAACTCAAAAATGGGGTCATGACTGGTCACTAACAGGGAATAGCTGCTGTGTTCTACTTGATATCACCATGGAGACACTGTTCTGTGACCCTCACAAGTCGTTGCTATGACAATGACCAACACATCTTGACAGCAGGTTACTGTTGTCCATGGCAACACCGCTAAATGGTATGAAAAATGTGTTGTCCTCCATAAATGACTGCCAGTTCTGTAGCACTGTGTCCAGATGTACAGAAGCAGGGCATTTTATTATGGGCCTTCTCTCTGGCCCGTGATGGTCCTTCCTCCAAGCGTTATCCAGAGTCCACGCCCACATTGATGGTGACAAGCCCATTCCCCTCGCCTTCCTCCTCCTCAATAAAGTTAAAGTGTGAGTTTTCTGTGGGGGTATGAGAAAAGCTTGGGGAAGGCGAGATTGAAATCTGACTTTGGTACCAGTCTCGGTTATACTCGAGTGTGTCTAAGATGTGTTGAGCATCAGGATACACTAAATCAGCCCAAGTCTCCCAAAGCGGGTGGACAATGTAGTCGATAAAGCCCACCTATAACAGAAATGTACACTTCAATAGTGGATAAAGAAATACACAATAATATTTAAGGCCATCATTAAAAAATTGTTTGGTTGCCCTCTCCCGACCGACTGGCTAAAAATGGCCCGACTCAACACTTTTAAACCTCCAGGAAGCAATTGTTTTTTTTTATGCATTCTGACCGATAGATTTTGATATTTCCTACCTACCGACTCAATTTTCTCATCCTGAGTCGGGAGAGGGCAAGCAAACATTATTTTAAAGTTGGCCTAAATAATTCCATCTATCATAAATTTCTTTGCTAGTCAGTTTTTTTAAAAGCAGGATCCCCTATTTTCTTTTTCAGTTTTTTTTCATTCTTCAAATTTTCACTTATTTCCTTTATGGGAACCCCCTGGGAAATATTCTGTATTTTATCCTGATATGATATACTTATGTAGTTATAAATATGAATTGTTAAATGTATCTTGTTATTTCTGGTTACCTGGGTTTTTTCGATGGTGGCGGTATGGCGGTCACACATGGGGCTGATGTCTAGGTTCCTCTCACGCTCCATGTCACCCTGGTGGAAGAATTCCTTCATAAGCCTCGTGACCCACTTCTGGTAGATCTCCAGAGGTTTAGTGGGGTTCCCTAGGTCTGAACAGTGGACCATGTTCTGTAGAACCTGTACAATAAATACAAAAGATTCAGTGTTAGACATGCTCTGTAAAACCTGTTAAAGGATTAGAGCAGAATCAACAGATCGATATGTTTTAAAAATTAGAATTCAGCTATAAAAAATTTTTGAGAAAAAGAATTTTGTATAATTGAATTTTCATTAAGATTGAAATTTACAGTTATTCCCCACAAAATTACAATGATAACATTGAGAAATTATCTTTTAACTTTTCATAGAACAAAAATAATAAGTGATACATATCAATACATATCATGATACACAAGTCAAAAACACTGATATATCATGATAGGTTTTTTGCACATTGACATTCATCCCTATAGTCTAGTTGGACATTGAGAAAATTTCCTGTATTTCGTGTGACCCGTGTAGTTTATCACACAACAGATTTGTAGATACCTGTCACCTCTACACATTTACAGTTTACCTGGGTGTCTGCTACATGACACCTGTACAGTTTACAGGTAAATAGCTGACTTACCTGGATGCGGTCTGTATAGTTGTCCAGTAATAATACCCCTGAGCCCGCCACTTTCTTGCTTTCTACCATAGTTTTCAGGTCAGCCAGTAAACTCATATGTTTAGACATATCTGTAGCCAGGACCTGAATTATGAAATTAAGATGTCATTCAGACACCTGCATAACCAATATTTACTTATCAACATTATTGCAAACTTAATTTATCTTAAAACATCTAATATTATATCAGCAGAAATGAAAACATTCACATGATATTTTTCATATTTTTTATTTTCATAGAAAGTACAAAATATAAAAACTTCCGAGTTTAAAGTTGCCGATTTCTTTACAAAGTTCTTGATATTTGGAATTTTTCATACTAATGCAACATTTTTGTATAAATAATTTGCTTATTTAATGTCTTACCATATCAATGGTCATCTTGCGGAGTGTCTGACGCTGTTTTTTGGAGAGATTCACAAAAATATCACAGTTTTCCTCTTGCAGAAGCTTGAATGCCACAGCTAGGTGATGATTCTCTAGGACTGACTCATCATTATACATCAACGCCAGCTCGGAACCTTACAAAGCAAACCAGTATGTCAGCCAAAACCCAATCAGTACTGTAATTTTTTTCAATGTGGATTTTCTTTTATGAGACAGACTCCATATAAATGGAGAAAGGTAAACTTTATTTAGTGTAAAATTTACATTGTATGGAATATCAATTTAGAGACAATTACAAACCCATTAGAGATATTCAATTGTGAGATACATATGTTAGGATTTGAGATGAAGTACTTTTATAAATGAGATACTAACTTCAAGTGTTCAAGTGTCCTGAGATGTCAACTGAGATATAACTACCTTTCTTGATGACATACTGATTTTTTAGGTATCTCCTGTGAGATGATCACCCATATTAACAAACCACTAATTCATAAAATATCTCATGAGATGTAATGATGAGATACTTATTTACAAGTTCAATGAGATATCTACTGAGATATATTTCCCCACTTGCAGAGAAACGGATATGTGAGATATCTGACACAACATTCACTGAGACACTGATTTGGGTGATATCTCGATGTAAGATACATGTATCTACTGAGACATGAGATACTTATTTGGGTATCTTGTAAGATATGTACTGAGATGTGAGATATCTACCTGTATTTATGAGATACTGATTTGTTAGTCCTGGATGATGTGTGATATCTTGTAAGGTATCTACTGAGATGTGAGATATCTACCTGTATTTATGAGATACTGAATTTTTAGCCCTGGATGATGTGTGGTATCTTGTAGGATATCTACTGAGATGTGAGATATCTACCTGTATTTATGAGATACTGATTTGTTAGTCCTGGATGATGTGTGATATCTTGTAAGATATCTACTGAGATGTGAGATAACTACCTGTATTTATGAGATACTGATTTGTTAGCCCTGGATGGTCCACATCATGAATGGCACAGGCAAATATTGCTGCTAGTATCTCGAGATCAGTGAAGACATTCTAAATAAGATTAAAAAAAAAAGAGAAATAAAAAAAGGGAATAAAGAAATCAGCTGTTATTTAAAAGAAGACTTGTCAAGAGAAGAAATCCCATTTCTGATGGATGAGGTGATCATATGCTTAATCATTCAGATTCAATTTCCACTGCAGGCCAAGAAAAATCAATTTCCTCCACTCTGAAGAAGTGATAGTTTGAGGAAATCCGGGAACTATAACTTAAGCAGTCCCAAGTGGTTAGGCTATGTTTCGGAGTTTTTCAGAGTTATCATTTTTCATGTGTTTTGGAATTATTGATCAAGAATAAAGTCATTGTTCAGCAGAGATGAGCTATCACTTTCATTTTTGGGAAGTCATCCAAATATCATACAAAATTCTAAGACAACTGAGAAGCTTGGAATGTAAAAAAGGGATAGGATTTCAACATTACGATGGTGATTTTAATATATGATTAATCAACAACTGTTTTAAAATCTCTAAATCCCCCCTCCTCCCCAAACATACACTCTGATGATGCTACAAACCTCAAGCGCCTGAGCGTTAAGTAGTACATGTGTAGACTGTGTGACGTCTGCTGCGTGCTCAGCATTGTGGTACGGGTTGTCGCGGTGATAATGATCCTCCAGATGAGTTAGGTACGTCAGCAGTGTTTGTGCGGGAATATTAAACGTCTTCAGCAAGTTTCGCTCCTGAAAGCATGTAATCACCAGACTGAACCATAGTCACCAACATTATTCAAATTTTATTGGGCATGTGTAATTAGCTATATAAAATAGCAACCTTGTATGAATAGTGTCAAAATAACTTAAAAATAGGCCCAAGGGCCACAACACTCACATGAGGTACATTTCTCCTGACAACCAAAAGTTTAAAATAAATGAATCCAACTACTGTTTTCCTGAACTTAGCAGAATTCACAATTAAAATGTACAGTATGCTTTAACTTTATATTAATAATAATAATAATAATATATAGACAACACTATCTACCTGTAATATTGGGAAGGTAACAGTAACTTACCTGTAATATTGTATAGGTAATACAGGTTAACGATCTGTTATTGGAAAACTCTGCTACTTTTATCACATCCATTCCCCATTTGTTAATGTCTGCCAAGTGCTGGAAAATAAATACAGGGAAGATTAACTTGAGACTTTATACTTGATATCATATGTGGTATATTTCTTTTTTGTTGCGAAGTGATCTGCACTAGAACATGAAATGAGAATTTTTTTTTTTAATGCTTTTAAGGACATTTGATTTTTAGTCTCTGCCCCCTCCCCCTTTCCAGGCTCTGCTCTAGGAGAGAAGCTTTTACTTTCCTCTTTTTATAGATTTGTCTGCCATCACACTTTGACACCTTCCCTCTAAGTTTTCTGTAAATTTGGACACATTCCCTACCTTTCCTAGTTCCTCGGATTGACTGGTTTCCACCCCGTATTTTGGCACTGTGGTATAACTGTTGGTGTGTTTCAGTTTACGAACCCCTGTGATTTTAGTCATGGGTGACGATTTCTCAGCAGTTTTATTATTTTGCTCTGTGTTAACAAGAGGTATGTCCAAATCTTGTTGCTTATCTAAAAAAAAGAAGTCACAAAATTATGTTAAAAAATAAACCACTTAGGGATCTAATAATTTAGAATGATATTCTTTCTATACGGAGGTATTTACTAAACAAGATTTCACTAAATCCTGTATTCAAAATATGTAACAGGAGTAAACTTATTTAAATTACATAATACAGGTTTCATGTGCAAAGCTTTTCAATTTATAGATGATTGAATTGAAATTTTCCTAATTTATCTTGATAGTTAAGTAATTTTCAATAATATTGTGTCTTCAGTGTGTTAGTGTACAAACCTAGATATGTGTTACAGATAAACTCGGCAATCTGATTCCCTGATTTACTCGACTCTCGGAATGAGCTCAGTTCTCTGTTTAACATTCGTTTGAACTGAAATTAAGACAAACTTTTTTCATGTCATTACAATTCAGATTTAAGTAATCAACTTTAAGAAAATAATGTTCCCACTTTCAACAATACGTAAAATTTTATCAAACAATTTTATTGAAATAAATGATAAATGAAGATTATAAATTTTAAGAATATCTGTATCGAAAGACTTTATAGGATTCAAAATTTCAGAATATATACATGACCACCATTTAATTTTGGTGTAAAGGATCGATGCATTGCACTAACCATGCCAACACTGGATTTGGATTTGTTTTTTTTGGTCGATTCTGATGCTTTCATAATCTTACTTAATTTAACTTTAGTTATTTGTTAGAAAATCTGGTCAATTTTGAATGGAAGTTGAATGTCAAAGGATTTTAGTCTGTAATGCAATAAAATATTTGGGAGTTTTTTTTTGCCCTCGCTGCTTTCCAAATGTTGACAATTCACAGTTGTCTGCCCTTGATTGAAGATGGCAAATAAATATGCAAAAGAGCCATTGAGAGGTGGAGCTTATATTGTAAATTAGACTAGTGTAAAAATGTCATGTCTTTTTTTCTATACGTCACCAGTATATTTACAAAGGTTTCAACAAGCATTAAGCATTAAAGGCATGTACAATTGCACTTGCAAATACAAACTAATAAAATTAATGTAATTGTGTAAAGTTGCAGTTTGGATGTTGACAATTCCTGCAATTTGAAGTTTATCTGAAATTTATTTTATTTTGTTTCTAATTCTGTATGTGCTGTCATACTTTAATTAGAAGACATTTTGATACCTTGCTGGAGGCCATATCACTGACGGACCGATGAGTCTGCATGGTCTCTAGCTGGTCTAAGCACCAATCAAGTTCCTCCAAAGTTTCCATGGCAAGCTGGGAGTAGCTTTCATCTGAAACAGAGAAAATCACTTTAAATATTGTATTTATATTGTATTTATATCTTACAGCAAAATGAATTGTCCACACAGGACAATAAATGTCTTAACTCCCCAAGAAAAAAATGTAACAAATTTTAGTATCGGTTATGACTTGGGATAATGACAAAATGCTCTAAAGAGATGATCACTAATATACTGATACAGACTGCAGAGAAAATAATATATTGTAATTCAGTTAGCTGTAAAATAAAGTTTTTTTGTTTGACTGAATGAGATTGACTACAAATATTCATAGAACTGAAAGAATAGAGGGGGAAACTGTAGACTCCCCAGCAACTGTGTGATATAGAGAGTGACTGCTCTTGTTCAATAGAATACCCAGTATATCATAAGTTGTAGGTTGTCTTTAATGAACAAACAGGATATTATTCTTTATATAGTCTGACACTGGCAGGGACACAGAAATATATGGATATCAAGAAAAACAATTACTGAGCATATAACTCTCAAAGTACATACAAAATAGACTGAAATGGATCGTTCTTTTATTTACTGACTTTAAACTGTAATATGTAGGTTTATAAAGGTGGTGCTGTTATATACATTTTCTTAAGGTGGCTCTGACAATATGTAGCTTTGGGTGGTGCTAACGTTTACCTGTTCTTAAGATTCTTGTGATGGTATGTAGGTTTGGGTGGTGCTAGTATTAACCTGTTCTTAAAGTTATGTTGGTATAATGCTACTGGAATTTACATGCTATTAAATTTGTTGTGATGGTTTGTAGGTTTGAATGGTGGTGGTATTTACCTTTTTCAGTGTTGCTGTGATGGTATGTAGGTTTAGATGCTGTTGTTTAAGGTTGCTGTTCAGGTATCTAGATTAAGGTGGTGCTGTTATCTAGTTTACGATTGTTGTGAGGATTTAAAGGTTTATGTGGCACTGTCGAGGTTCTTGTGATGGTGTAAAGGTGTAGGTGGTGCTACCTTAAGGTTTTTGTGATGGTGTAAAGGTGTAGGTGGTGCTGTTTTCTACCTTAAGGTTGTTGTGATGGTATATAGGTGTTTATGTGGTGCTATCTACCTTGAGGTTGTTGTGATGTTCTGTAGGTTTGGGAAGTGCTGTTATTTACCTGCTTATAAGGTAGCTGATGATATGTAGGTTAAGCAGAGCTGGTACCTTAAAGAGTTGTGATGGTGTGTTGTATGTAGGTTTAGGAGGTGCGGTTATATACCTGTTCTTAAGGAGGCTCTAACCATACAATGGTTTGGGTGGTGCTGTTATTTACCTGTTTTAAGGTAGCTGCTATGGTTTGGGCGGTGCTGTTATTTACCTTTTAAAGTGGCTATGACAGTTTATAGGTTTGAACAGTGCTGTTATTTTCCTGTTTTTAAGGTGGCTGTGATGGTATATGTTTGGGTGGTGCTGTTATTTTCCTGTTTTTAAGGTGGCTGTGATGGTATATGTTTGGGTGGTGCTGTTATTTACCTGTTTTTAAGGTAGCTGTACTTGAGTGAGAAGTCTGAGGAACTGGGTTTGATTTCCCTCCTGTGCCAGATCTGAAAATAAAATGTTTTTCGTTTATCAAATGTCTCTATCTACATCCAACAGTTGTTTTCCAAATATCACTTCTTAAATAAAATTGCATTTCAAATGCAAAACAATGTCACACCTTGGTTATAAATTATATGATAAAATAGATGAAAGTTATCTATTTAAATTGTTAGAAGAATGCAAATACACAATATAACTGTTTTTGCATTGCACTATGTCATAAATCACATCAAATTTTCATAATATGTTAGCACACAGGGACATTATTGAATTTGGATGCACACCTTGTGTGATAAATGAGAGATTACAACAACAAAAACCTTTGTAAGAATTATAAATTTGGCTCAGCCTAAAAAACCAAGATGATTTTTATATTCTACATTATCAAGTTGGAAAATTACCAGAAATAAAAGCTTAAATTAGGCAGTAAAATAACAATGAAATAGTTTCTATGTGCAATAAAACTGATTCTTAAAGTTGTTGTTAGATATCTGGAAACCAGTAGAAGAGAAACCCCCGAAAAGTGGTTTAATTGTGTATCCCTGGGATATCTTTGCATGTACTTTTTTATCCTGTAATTACAATTAACTGTCGGAAAATACATTAAAAAGATCAAATGTTCCAAATTGTGCCAATCAGACTTGAGCCCACGACTGCAGACTAACAGCAAGGTCAATTTCTTCAGACATTATGATTTTGTATTTCTTTTACAGGTAGGACCAATGGATTTTGGAAACTCTAAAAGGAGGCCATTCTTTGATGACAATTGGAAAATACTTTAGAGTGACGTGCTTAGGGCTGAGCTGCTTATTAGGGATACAGTACTTAAACAGGATTACACAACAGCGCACATTCCTTTTTTTTTTTATTTTAAAGTTTTCAAAGACTCTAAGGGTAGTTAAAAAATGGGAGGTATAAGCAAAGATTAAAGTTAATGATTATCAATCCAGTTCTAAAAAGTGGAAGAAACTGATTGTGTCACATGACAAAGGACTGAAAATCTCTCGGTAATCACATTCAATTATTCTGTCTTGTCTGTATTTATCGTAAAAATCAATACACGCCAAAAAATTAGATAATGGGATCTCCTTTGAAATGCAGTAGTATTTAAATAGCAAATGCAAGAAGCAGTTGCTCAGTTTAATAAACTGATAACAAAAGGCTTCCGTAAGTGCCCAGGGTAAATCTTCTGATTATGCACCAGTTTAGATCAGCATTGCATTCTGAGGAGTTCTTACAGACATCTTATCTATATGTGACCATAATACCAAATTAGCCTTTTGACTAGAGGGTCGGGTTTACTTAAAAAAAAAAAACTACACCAGAGCCAGTGTGTCAGACACTTTTGTGAATGATTCCATTAGGTGCATGGCGGCCAAATTCAAGTTTGGTGAATATAACCTTAGCTTTAGGTACAATAATTATAAGGAGTTAAGACATGCTCCAAATTTTAGCTTTGTCATTCAAGCTAGCTCACATTAATTAGCATCCTAAAATTCACTGTAAGAAAATCACTAAACCTGATATAAAGTTTCTAAAAGGACTTTCAAGTTCATGTCTTTACTTGGGCCAAAATCAATGCACTTGCATGCAAACACCACATAACCAATGATGTGCAAAAGAAATACATTTCCTATCCTTGGAAAAAAAAATAGCATGAGTTCCAATGACAGAATTTAATGTGATGGACAGAAAGAAAAAGGTAGCTGTAGCCAACTTGCTTCAGAAAAGTGCCTACATATATATTATTTACCAGGCGTGAGTTTCTTCCACTACACTTAGAATTCCTCTGATCGTGTTCCCAACATCTATCTAAACTGTTATCAATTAATAGATTTACGTAATACCAGATGTCTTTTACGAGAGGACTTGAAAAGTCAATTGTACACCATTTCCTTTAAACAGTTTCTGTTAGTTTTGATGATGCACCACTCATCTAACGAGGTGTGCATTATTACATCGATTCCGAGTCATAAAAAAAGAGAACTTTATCTGTCAATGTAGGCCCCTGTTATATGTGTCGGAGTGTCGGAAGTTCTGAATGCTTTGTTGAGTCGCTCGATCTAACTTAACCATTCAGGCAGGAAAATGATAAGTATGTATATCATTATGTAACATCAGGCCCTGGAGAGTCTTCCATCACAATAAAAGGAAGAAAGTTTAACTTATTTTTTCCTTAAATAAATATAAAATTATGTCTATGGGTGCCTTATCTCAAAGATGGATTTTTTTCAGAGTTAACACTTTTTCATAAAATGTTTTTACAAAGATTTACACTGGGTGATTTATGAATATTTATGTGTACATCCATCTGTTAAGCATTCATCTTAACTAAGCACATTAAATTCTATATAAAATAGAAATTTGTGGGATTCTAAAACATTTTCTTGATTAAGTTTTAATTATTTCCCTCCATACATGGTGTCTTCCTGGTAAATAAGACTGACTGTTGAACAGTGATCTTAGAAATAACTTCTATGATATATTCTGTGTGTCAGAGATATTGATTTGTTCAGGGAACTACTTATTCTGTACAGTAGACATTTGTTTTTAAGGTAGCCACATGTTGCAGAATTGGGATCCATTTTTAGGAACAATATGTTGACTACATAATATTTCTTAAAGAAATATATAAAAATTTGCAGACAAAATCAATAAACACATGCATCCAACTATGTGCTGATGAAGCACATGGTGATCCCTAGTTAGGTATGTCTACTGAGTCTTATTTGAATTCCTAACTTAGAACCTAATGATCTGACTTTGACCAAAAGATGAAGTTATTATCTTAATAAAGTATTACGTTCAAAAGTTGCAGTCAATTTAGGGAACAGACAACAGGATAGAGACACTCTGACACGCTTAAAAATTGTTCTTCAGAATAAAAATACAACACTGTATGATATTCTTTTTTAAAATCGGATTCTTTTTTCACCTAACTCTGGCCTTTAGGTCAACGATGAAAAAAAATTCTACATAAAAGATTAAGGATTTCTGTGAAGCCATTCTTGACTTGGTGAACCAACCTCTGAATATGACAGGAAACTATTCCAAAGTTACATCCCTTGTAAAGGGGCATTACTCTTCCTTTAAAGGAAATTGTACCCTTTATTTCGAAAAAGATTAAAATTACTGTATACAGTTATTTTTGCCCCATGTTATTTTCACTCTATCACACTTACAAATGATTTTGCATCATTCTAAATTAGATTAGACAAAATTATGTTTAATAAAAAAGATTACTCTGTCTTCTTTGAATTCACCCATTTAAACTCCAAAAGAGGGCAAAAGGAACAAAAATAAAACAGGGGCAAAAATTTCCCCTGTATACAGTATACTATTTGTTATTGAGAAGACATGGAAAACAAGGAAAACTTGCAAAAAAAAGGGGGGGGGGGGTTCAAAAAGCTCACCAGCTCTCAGGTGAGTAAAACAGAATGAGACTCCCCAATCCTCCACTTTGGGGCATCCAGGATAAATACACAATTGTTCTATAAGAATTGACTTTGAAAAGGTCAAATCAACACAAACTTGCTGCTGCCAATAACAGGTTAATTTAATGTCTCCCTATCTGATGCCTTTATTATGATAATTTAGTGCATAATTTTGTATTCAGTATTTGACTTTGAAGAAATATGCTCTATGAAAAAAAAAATCCTGAAACTGATTGTTTCTTTTTAAGCCAAGGTGATACTGATAAAAAAAATTTCAAAAACACAACGATAAGGTCAGAAATTCCATTAAAAATCTCCCATAGCTATAATGAGAACAGTATGCAATAAAATAGATACATGTTAATTAAACAATGATGAAGGCCTGCAGCCAAGACTAAGTAAATCTCATGTATAATGTAACAGTTAAAATGAGACTAGAAAAAGTAGAAGATCTAGACTCTGTGACTTGTTAGCGTAGATACACAGATGTACGTACCGTTCTCTGGATGTGTTGGTCAGCATTACATAGTTATTGCGTACACTCCTCAGGCTCGCCAGAATCTGGGCAAACGGTGTCACAATCAAATCATCCGCATGTCTGGAATGGAAACAAGAAGAAAATTTAACATTACGTCGACGACCCTTAAATGACGGTCGCAGATATTTGGCGATTTTCTGCATTGTGTCGGTGTGTGTGAGAAGCTTTCAGAAACACACAGTTTCTCGGCCAGTTGATCAATATACTCACAAAATCCCTACACCATTGGGCACAGCGTGGTATTCGTTTATGATTTATAACCAAAACAACAGAGAGCTGGTACTGACATATATTAGAATGTAACGACACTTCCATCTACAGCTTAAAATTTTATTACAACATATTAATTGACAAGGTCCGATTCTGACAGAATCTCACATCAGAACGACAGATTTTCAAAAACTTCATCTGAAACACTCAGATAGAAAGATAGACTTATAGTACAAAATAGTCCTTTTTTTCCCTTCCCAAGTTAACTTTCTACTTCATGCTAGAAACAAATAATTATTTGCTACAAAAAATATTGTACAATTATTGATTCAGAGGCTGTGCATGGAGATGACACGATTTACTGCGACCAGTGAATTAAGTCAGGCCTGAATAATGTGCTTCTACATGAAGAAATGTTTGGGAGACATCGATTTCCCTCAGATAACCATCACTCAACCTTCCCTATCAATAGCTAATCTGATGACATTTAAAATCAAGGCAACATTCAACTTGAAAAATTTATATCAACTGTAATTAGTTGTTACAAAGGAAAGAAAGTCATTAAAAGTTTTGGCAAATTGCAATGCAGGAAACAGCACATAGTACATTGCAGTGTTTGCAACTTAAAACAGCCAATTGAATTGTCAGTTCACTTACTCTGTAGAACTCTTTAGAAATTGGAGGTACACATATATTGTTTCTAATAAATCTCCATCACAACTGAAGAACTCTGTATACATCTCCAGAACAGTTCAGAATCAGAGGTCACTTCAACAGGAGAAAAGCTCTAGCACACAGGAGCTACAGAAAAATCACTGGAATGTCTTTCTTATAACTCAAACCTTTATAATTTTGTCAATTGAATTCTCAATAAATAAGATTTATGAAAACTATCAGGAAAAGGGGGAGGGAGTGAAAATTTTGATGTGTCATCCATCACTATGGTGACAGCTTGGTAAATCAGAAGTTAGACCACAGTGAAAGAAAACATACAAATTCTAGGGACAGATTCCTGGAAGTTTCTCACGTAAGTCAGTTCTGTGAATGCCTTGCTATTCATCACACACCTTGTTCTGTTATGACAGATAGGCCTTGGCACACTGCACTCTAGCATTCTAATAATTTTACTTTTACGAGGTGAATTTTCTAATTTTTTTTTACATCAAATACCAGAACACGATTGTCATTAAGTACCTCCTGATGTGTTGTCAAGCTTCTGAGATGTGTTGACAAATGGTTGACCTGACGTGAACTGTTCATTTCATATCCGCATTTCATAGCGACACTTTAACGAGCCAAGTATTTACCTGTCTTCATTAGTGGTTCTTCAAATCCTTCACTGCTATGACTACCTCGGATGGAAAATATATCTAATATATAAAGCTTTAATTTCAGTTGATTTGAACATATTTTATTGCAATAAATATATACAATGGGATTGGGCACAAGTTCTAAAAACTTAATTCGCCCTCTCCCTACATGTTATATCACAAAAATTCAATCAGACGTGTCCAACAGCATGTACAAAGTAAATTAACTCACAACATAGAAACATATACTGCTAAATTATTATCTATACACATTTTTAGAAAAATCAATTAAATCTGCCTGAATGCTGAATATAAGATTGAACAATAGAGAAGAGATATTCATTTTCAGCAATACTGAGTGAGGTATCCCCCCAGAGTAAAGTATGAGTGTCAACAATATGAACTTTATTAAATCTCAAAAACTTATCGAAGAAATCTTTCCTGGCCTCAGTGTAATTAGGACATGAGAAAAAATAATGATGTGTGTCTTCTACCTTACCACAAGAGCATAATGGACTAGATATTATGTTACACCTATAAAGATCAATGTTTAGCACACAATTGTGTCGGAGTCTAGTGTGCAGTATATTGTAGCGTCTTTTTCCAAAACTGAAATAAGGCGGGGCTATTGTTATTTTTTGTGTGATTTTACTTTTAAAAGCAGATAAGGAGCTCGAGAGTCTGGTGTCTAGCGATAAAGAATTCCACTCGTTTACTACAGTTGGTACAAATGATGATTTGTATGTTTGCAGTCTACAGACGGGTATATTATAATTTTGAGAGTTTCTTGTTGTATACGCGGAAGCATTACATCGCATTTCAGGTATAATTTCACGTAGATAATCAGGAACTAAATTATTATGAATTTTATACATGGTATTCAATCTCTGAATCTTGCGTCTATCAATGAGCGGTTCCCAGCCTGTTTCAAAGTACAAAGAGTCTCTAGATGCAATTAAGGTCAAGCCAGTAACAATCCGTGCTGCGTGTAGTTGCAATTTCTCTAATTTTTCAGAGTCGATAGCTAGACAACCACCCCATACAACTGTAGCGTATTCGAGCTGAGGGCGGATAAATGAAGTATACATGAGTGAAAGAGTCTTTCGATTTATTTTAAATTTAAGTTTTTTTAATAGACCAATTTTTTTGTATGCATTAGACAGTAAGATTTCAATGTGAGTTGACCAACTTAAGTTATATGAAAAAGTTACCCCTAAATGTTTATGAGTTTGAACATATTCTAATTGGCTATCTTGGAATAGGAGTTTGGGAGGTTCTATGTTTTTTCTTGTGCTAAAAAATACAACCTTAGTTTTGGATGGATTAAATTTTAGTAACCATTTGTTTGACCACTCTTCAAGAGATAAAAGATCATTATTCAGATTACTTTCTATAGATTTAACACATTTAGATGCGTACTGCAAACTGTTATCATCAGCGAATAATCTACAAAAGCTTGACATCTTGTCAGATACATCATTTACATAAATTAAAAATAATAATGGACCTAATACAGATCCTTGTGGAACGCCGGCATATAAGGAAGCCGAAGGGGATACCAAATTTTTGTAAATAACTCTTTGTGTTCTATTTTCTAAATAACTTTTTAACCAAAAGTACATATTACTCTCTATGCCATACATGTTTAGCTTAAACAAGAGCCCTTTGTGCCAGACACGGTCAAAGGCCTTAGATAAGTCACAAAAAATCATACAACTGGATTTACCATCATCAATATTTCTAACAATATTATCGTATGTTTCTAACAATTGATAAACCGTAGAATGACCAGGCAAGAAACCAGCCTGGTATTTGTAAAAAATATTATTACAATGAAAGTAGTTGTACAAGTGTTTAAATACAATACGTTCCATGACTTTACCAACACAACTTAACAATGAAATAGGTCTATAGTTTGACAAAACAGCTGGATCGTCTTTTTTAAAGAGAGGAATAACATTAGCTAATTTCCATTTTTGAGGAAAAACACAGTCTTTCAATGAGCGATTAAACAGTAAACATAGAGGTTTGACAACAGTAAGTTTTGTTGATTTTAACATTTTATGACTAATACAGTCTTCTCCAATGGCTTTGTTAACAGGTAATATAGATAAAATATCAAACACTTCTTGTTCACAAATAGAAATATTGTCAAAAACACTATCACACTTAGTAATTTCTTTAGGTAAATCAGACTTATCATCATCAACACGGGTAACTGAAGCAAAATAGGTGTTAAGTACTGTTATCTTATCTACATCAGAAAAAGCAAAATTGGCATCACCAGATTCGGATGTGTATTGTAAAGGAGGAATATCTGTAGTTGATTTAGTTTTAAAAGTATCTTTAAGAAGTTTCCAATAAAGTTTAGGATTGTTTTTACTGGAATCAACGAGTTGTAACTCGAGAGTATTTTGATAATTTTCAATAGCATGTTTTTTCATGTTGTTAAACTTGTTTCTGATACGCTTAAAATTATCCCAATCGAGCTGTTTATTACTTTTTTGTGCTTTTCGTCTTAATCTATTTTTTTCTCGATGAGTTTTCCTTAATAATGAGTCAAACCAAGGTTTGTCTTTAGGTCTTATAATAACTGATTTTTCAGGTACACATTCCCTTACGAGATCTATATATTTGGTTGTAAACTTTTCGGTAGCTTCGTCAATTGATTCAGCATTACAGATAAGATTTTTCCAGTCAGTAGTTTCGATTAAAGTATTAAGTTTTTCCATATTAGCATTTTTATAATCCCATATTTTCCTTACATAAGATTGACTTTTAATGATACTTGATTTTAAGAAGACGTATGTCGCTTTGTGATCGGTTAGTGTATTGTCTGTGTCTATCACGCCTGAGTGGAGTGCTACAAGGTCTGGGCTGATCAAAACTGGGTCAATAAGTGTGTTCGAAGTGTTGGTAATTCGTGTTGCTTCGTGGATTGTGTTTGTCAGGTTATGATTCAGCATGATATCTTTAATAGGAAGTATCCGAGAATTGTCCAGAAAATCAACATTTAAATCTCCTACAATTATAAATTTGCTGGAAATATCCGATACTTTTTCAATTGACCACAAAAATTTGTCCCAGAAGGATTTTTCGCTGTTGGGTGGACGATATACGCAGCAAAGAAAAAGGTTACAGGTAGGTTCACTAATTTCAGTTAAAAGCTGAGGTGCAATATATGGTAACAGATCCTACATTACCCTTGACTTCATTTTTAGGAAAAAAAATTTTCATATAAAACTATATTTGGATTAGAGCTGAGGCAATTTATGGCAACAGATCCTAGATTTCCCTTGACTTCATCTTTAGGAAAAAAATTTATCATATAAAACTATATTTGGATTAGAGCTGAGGCAATTTATGGCAACAGATCCTAGATTTCCCTGGACTTCATTTTTAGGAAAAAAATTTATCATATAAAACTATATTTGGATTAGAGCTGAGGTGCAATATATGGCAACAGATCCTACATTTCCCTTGCCTTCATCTTTAGGAAAAAAAAAATCTATATATAAAACTATGCTTGGTTCAAAGCTG